GGGGCCTTTGCATATAACCCTTGTGTCAACAGCCCCGGTGGTACCCGGGTGCTGGTACCCATGGTACCCATCGCCGGGTGCGTGGGGGCTGCCGGAAAACAAGCCAGCCGTGAAAGAACAGCCGTCCGGCGCTTGATTCCTCTTGGAAAGCAAGAGCCTGCTCTGTTCGGAGAAGGATGCTCAGGGCCTTGCCCAGAGGGATGCCGAGAGCCCCAGGCTGGATGGGATCAGCGCCGGCAATGTCCTCACCCCCGCCTGAGCCGGGGCGGCAGAGAGGCACAGCCCAGTAGCCTGTCCCTGCTACTGGGAGCATCCAAGGGGGGCTGGAAGCTCCCCCCCAGGCGCTTTTGAGGATCCCTCCCAGTTCTCTGCCTGTCTTCTGAGATCAGAGGGTGATGGAGCACCCCGAGGCGTTCAATGCTGCACCAATTCCGGATGGAATCACTGCCCAGATCTCTCCTGGCAGGGGCTGGGGAGGAATTCATCCAGAAGAACTCCCCTTTGTGTCCATGAAATTCAATGTAAAGAAAGCAAATTTATCCTTTCCTAGGGGAAAAAAATACTCCCAGACAGGTCTGTGGGTGCTATCCAGGGAATGGGCTCACTGGACACATCCACCCTTCCCGGCTGGCTTTGCCTCCCGAGGAGGCCGAGCATCCCTGCGTGGTCATCCCCCGCCTCCATCATCCCTGCAGCCTCCGGTCCTCCCCGGCACGATGCCTTCCCACCTCACCTCTCCCCGGGGAAGCTGCGTGAAACCAGAGGCGTCGGAGACCGCTCCGGGGGAGAACCCGCCGCCAATTTGCTGTGTCCCTGAAACCCAAACCCCTGCCCGCCTGGCTCACCAGATCATTTAAGCCCACCCCCCCATAGCCCCACGGCGGAGAGATGGGAGAGATAAAAGGCCCTGAAAAGCCCTCTGAAATTCAGCCCCGCAAAGGAAGGGCTTCTCTCCGGTAATGACTTGTTTTCCTTGAAAGTTCAAACGCGGGTCGGCCAAGTTTTAAACCGTAAAATTATACAGCGGCGAGCGGGAGAGGGAGAAGGGCTCCCAAGGATCCCCCAGCTGGTTTCCAGCCCCAAAAGGATGTTTGGGAGCTGGGAGCAGGGCAGGGGGGGAGGAAGGAGATATGAGGTCATGGGTGCTCCCCATCGGCACCCCGTGAAAAGGTGCCAGGGCGGGGGGGTGTGTGTGTGTGCTGCTGGCATACCCAGCCAAAGGGATGTTTGAGTAGGTCCTACGTAAACAGCATCCTTTGGCTGGGCTGGGTAACAAGCAGGTGGGAAGGGTTTGGGCTGCGTTAAAGTGAGGTGGGATCGGCAGAGACAGGGAGCGTCCGCGGGAATAATTCCCAGCGGGCTGGATGGAAAGCCTTCTGCCAAGGGAAGGATTTTAGGCGGAAATATTACTCCTGCCCTTAAATGGAAGAGGAGCTTCAGCCTGCAAGAAGCTGCTCCAGGCTTTCCTGTGCTGAGAGATCCCAGGGGCTCAGCCTCCAACCTCTACCCGAAACGCACCCAGGGCACAATCCTGCCCTTGGGGGGCGAGGGGGGGGAATTCTCAGAGAAATCACTGTCTGGCAGGCAGGTACATACTGTTCCATAGGGAAAAATGAGCCCTTCTGGGAGGTGGAGCCGGCCAGACGTGCGCTACCGAGCGTCTGGTGGGATGGGGCCAGAGCTACAGCTCCCGAGCAAGGATCAGCGACGGGTGCTCAAGCGTGGTGGTGGGACTCCCGCAGCCCAAACACCCCCGCTTTAGGACAGCCCAAACTGTTTTGTTTCAGTTCTTCTGCACGGACATTTTTTCAGAGCCACTTCTTGGCGGAGCGTTTCTCCATCTCTCCTTCTTGTTACAATTTGGGGTGAAACCAAAGGTTTCTTCCAGGTCAGAAGTGCCGATGTTTGCTCTGGGAAGCCGCTGGCCATGGGTGCAGGACCTTGCAGGTGATCCCCACCTTGATTTCGTTCAGCGGGGATGACAGCTATGGGACCTCACAAGGAGCACACAAAGTCCCCAGTCCCCATTCCTCCTCCGCTCCTGCCGCTGTGCCCCACAGCTCCCAGATTTGCCAGGGCCGCTGGATCCCACCTGCGCCACCTCGCTCCTGGTTTGTCCCCTCCTGGCTTTTAGCATCCCTGCAGAAAGTCTCCGAGGCTCTGCTCCCAGCCTCCTCCTAGAAAGCCATCTCCATCCCACTTGTCACCTCTGCTCTTCTGCATCCCACCATTCCCTTCTGCTGGCCCCAAAATACCACGTCCCATCTGGGGACAATTTAAGGGATGCTGGGAGAGGGACTGGGGACGGGGGGCAACAGGGTGCTGGGACGGTCGGGGCTGAGGAGAGGCAGGGACCTGGGCCAAGAGGTGGCTTGGGCTCTCATACCACAGCCTGAGGATGGCCCCAGCGTGGCGAGGTCCATGGCGGAGCGCTGGCAACCCTCCTCCTCCTCCTCCAACATGAAGCCACAAGCTAGGGTTGTCCCTGGAAGGTAAGCAGGCACCAAGGAGGCATTGGCCTGCCCTGGACCCCCGAGGGATGCCGGGTCCCCCACCAGCACGGTCACGCTCCCCTGCCCCTGCGCAAGCCACCCCCGGTAAACGTTAACGGGCCGGGGGGGGAGAGGC